AATTGGATTTGTATTTATGAATCATGTTTTAAACTTACGAACGGTATTTGTATATTTATAAATCATGTTTTAAAGTTATGAATTGGATTTGTGTATTTATGAATCATGTTTTAAAGTTATGAATTGGATTTGTGTATTTATGAGTCGTCTTTTAACCTTACGAATTGGATTTTGCAAATTGTGTTGTGCATGTATGAATTTTTTTTTGTAAATATTATTTTTGTGAGTGATCTGGCTCCATCAAAAACTCAGAGAAGGGGACACGTTACATGGATATGGAAACAAATATATTGCGTTAGCACCACTTTAAATATAACTCGCAAATCTCAGTGCTTTAATATTTAGATTTTTTTTTAAATAACTACGTTGTAAAAAATGTAATGACAAAAAGTCAAGACAACAAATATTTTTATGTTGCTTTATTTTAATAAGGTTATCCGGTTTTAAGTAAATTTAAGTTATACAAAGTTTACCTCAATACTAAAGTTTACCTACAAGTTGAGATGATTTGACACCAAACTCATTTAAGGCAAGAAATTTTTTTTTCACAGTTTAGAAAATTTAATATTGAAATACTTTTTCTGTTTTTCGCTCAGTATTTTGTGTTGTTTTCAAATTAAATGCCAGAACATTTAGAAATCAAGACTAATTTAATTGAGAAGCAAAATTGCTTGAGATCAATGTCGGTTTCCAGTGAATCTGATCCAAATGACAAATATATACGAAAACAAAACAAACCCTTGCTGAAAACAAAATAATTTATATAACAATTATAATTTTTAAGGATCACAGGAAAAAGGTGGTTTGCCATGTCCAGGTTGGAGGAAAGTCCCTACTCCAGGTGGAGGAGTTCAAGTATCTTAGGGTTGTGTTCACAAGTGAGGGATAGATAGGAGCGTGAGATTGACAGGTGGATCGATGCAGCAGCAGCAGTAATGCAGTCAATGTACCGTTTCTACTCTCACTTATGGTCATGAGCTTTGGGTCATGACCAAAAGAACAAGATCTTGGATACAAGCAGGCGAAATGAGTTCCCTTAGCAAGGTGCACCCTTATAGACAGGGTAAAGAGCTCTGTCACCCGGGAGGAGCTCGGAGATGAGACGCTGCTCCTCCACATCGAGAGAAGTCAGCTGAAGTGGCTCAGGCATCTGTTTTGGCTGCCTACCTAGGGAGGTGTTCCACCACGTCCCACCAGGACGAGGCCTCGAGGAAGACCCAGGACACGCTGGAGGGACCATGTCTCTCGGCTAGCTGAAGGAAGTGTCTATTTGGATGTCTATTTGAGTCTTTGCATTGGCTCAACATGTAAATCATTCACGCTTGACGCTTCATCCACATCTGGTGTGAACGCAGCATCAAACTGTAAAAGGGTGAATTGAGAGAAGACCTGCAGAATCCTAGTTTTCTAAATCATAAAGACGAAGTACACAAACGCTATACTATCAAAATATATTTTATTCTGGACTTTTCATCTGATCTGACTCAAATCACAATAGTCAAACCAACACTGCAGTAAGTGATTTCTGCTAAAGAGTGAGCAAAACAAGAGGGGGGGAAAAGCAAAGAGGAAACAGAAGCAGATTAACGGTTAGACAAAAATCGCTGAACAAGTATTTACATGGTTGGAGAGGTTCTGATATGCCCATGTAAGTGCTTTTGACGAGAGCTAAAAACAACATTAGAATTACAAAATATTCTGAAGTACAAAACTTTCAAAGGGCCGTGGACGGCAAGCAGAGTGCTAGACGCTGAGGAGACGAGAAGCAAACGCCTGCGCGCACGCACACACTGTAAAAAGTAGATCTTTTGAAAAATTAAAACATTATAAAATACCATTCCACTGTCATAGACAATATAATAAATAGCGTATTTTCGTACAATCTACTCGTTGATTATATTAGAGCAAGCGTCAAAATACTCATCTCTTAAAAAAAGGAAACGAAATTTTAAGAGGGGGATGCAATTTATAGTTGATACTAGGGAGAAAAAAACGTTTGTTAGCATTTTAGGCTACATTTTTTTTTCAAAAACAAAAACACTGTTACACAAGTTTAAACCAGCCGCCTCAACCTCTAATAATTATCAGAAGACTCGGTTCATTCAAGTAAATGCTAAGCATCGCTCAAGTAATTTCCGTCCAGAACATATATTCAAAAAAAAAAAAACGTTTTAAGTGCTCAGTGGATTTGATGGGAAGATGTCTAAAGTGCTGAGAAGTGGCATGAATGCTGGGTTAAAGCGGCTTTTCTGGACTATGACTGTCTAATGGTATTTTATAAAGACACGTCTAGCAAACTCCAAATCAATGTGCTTTACCCTGAAGGAACCGTGCTGCGAGAAATCCAAAACCGCCAACGGAGTTTACGCCAAAAAATCCATCCTTTAAAACAGTAGCATGAAGTAGAATAAAAAGCCTGTGCTCACGTTTAGCTTTTCTGCATCAGCTTCTGCATTACACTCACACCTTCGCTGAGCAATAACCATGGCGATTTACTATAGCTATTGCGCAAAAATCATTCACGAAACTGATTTAAGATTTTCGAATTGCGACGCTGTTCTCTCTTGTTGCTGAGCTTACTTTAACAGCAGATGGCGCTCTTGGCTAGTTTTTAACAGGAGATGGCGTTCTAGGCTAGTTTTTAACAGGAGATGGTGCTCTAGGCTAGTTTTTAACAGAAGAAGGTGCTCTAGGCTAGTTTTTACCAGAAGTCAATGCTCTAGGCTAGTTTTTAACAGCAGACAGCGTTCTAAGCTACTTTTTAACAGCAGACGGTGCTTTAGGCTAGCTTTTAACTGCAACTGGCGCTCTAGGCCAATTTTAAACAGAAGACAGCGCACTAGGCTAGATTTTAGCAGCAGACGGCGCTCTTGGCTAGTTTTTAACAGCAGATGGCGCTCTTGGCTAGTTTTTAACAGCAGATGGCGCTCTTGGCTAGTTTTTAACAGCAGATGGCGCTCTAGTCTATTTTTTAACAGCAGACGGCGCTCTAGGCAAGTTTTTAACAGCAGATGGGGCTCTAGGCTTTTTTTTAACAGCAGCCAGCGCTCTAAGTTAGTTTTTAACAGCAGATGTCGCTCTACGCTAGTTTTTAACAGCAGTCGGCGCTCTAGGCTCGCTTTTGACTGCAGCTGGCGCTTTAGGCCAATTTTAAACAGAAGACAGCGCTCTAGGCTAGTTTTTAACAGCTGACGGCGCTCTTGGCTAGTTTTTAACAGCAGATTGCGCTCTAGGCATTTTTTTAACAGCAGACGGCGCTCTAGGCAAGTTTTTAACAGCAGATGGGGCTCTAGGCTTTTTTTAACAGCAGCCAGCACTCTACGCTAGTTTTAAACAGCAGTCGGCGCTCTAGGCTAGTTTTTAAACAGCAGACAGCGTTCTAAGCTACTTTTTAACAGCAGATGGTGCTCTAGGCTAGCTTTTAACTGCAGCTGGCGCTTTAGGCCAATTTTAAACAGAAGACAGCGCTCTAGGCTAGTTTTTAACAGCAAACGGCGCTCTTGGCTAGTTTTTTTACAGCAGATGGCGCTCTTGGCTAGTTTTTAACAGCAGACGGCGCTCTAGGCAAGTTTTCAACAGCAGATGGGGCTCTAGGCTTTTTTTAACAGCAGCCAGCGCTCTACGCTAGTTTTTAACAGCAGTCGGCGCTTTAGGCTAGTTTTTAAACAGCAGATGGCACTCTAGGCTAGCTTTTAACTGCAGATGCCGCTCTAGGCTAGTTTTTAACAGCAGATGGCGCTCTTTGCTAGTTTTTAACAGCAGATGTTGCTCTAGGCCAATTTTAAACAGAGGACGGCGCTCTAGGCTAGTTTTTAACAGCAGTAGCGCTCTAGGCTTGCTTTTAACTGCATATGGTGCTCTAGGCCAATTTTAAACAGAAGATGGCACTCTAGGCTAGTTTTTAACAGCCAAAAGGCTCTGAGCTAGTTTTTAAATGGGAGATGGCACTCTTTGCTAGTTTTTAACAGCAGATGGCGCTCTTGCCTAGTTTTTAAACGGCAGACGGCGCTCTTAGCTAGTTTTTGAAATGCAGGAGGTGCTCTAAGCTAGTTTATTATTGAAGTTTTAGCTCTTGGCTAGTTCTTAAACAGCAGACAGCGCTCTTGGCTAGTTTTTTTAAACAGAAGACGGTGCTCTTGGCTAGTTTTTAAAGAGCAAATAGAGCTCTGGGCTAGTCTGAGAACAAAGTTGGCTTTCATGTCGTAAGAATAATGTAAACACAGCTCACTTTTAACACCTTCTTGTAATTCGGCTTAAAATTTTCCGAACTCTTTTTTCGTCCAAATTGTAAGGAATTTAATGCGAGTAGGAATTTATTGTAAACGGACAGCTGTTCATAAACATACAGCACCATCCGCTGTTATAAACTAAACTTAAAATCCATTCAAAAGAGAACAGCGATGTATTTTGAAAATCTCTGAATCGATTTCTCAAACTTTTATTTTTTTTTCGCCAAAATTTGACAATTTACAAAGAAAAATAGTGAGCAAAACAGGCAAAAACAGCACCGATTCAAACTTCCTTTGGGCTTTCGAGGTTAAAGATTAAAAAAGCATGTCCACTTCCCTGCTGCCTGACTAAAACAATCGCACATCCCCATAAATCTGTCATAAAAGACTAACGCTGTACAGTCGCACACATAGAAACTCACTGCAGCACCACAAGTGTGATGACCAAACTGAAAGATCATTCGACATTTATAGAAAAGCAAGAAACCACTAGGAAGAATAATAGAAAAAAACGAGCCATTGTGTAAAATGTCATCTTAGCATGAAGGCGAGAGGATAATCAATAAAAAATTGTGAACGATTAAACGGTTTTCTATAGTTTGTGTAACAGCGAAGGGTGAATGTGCGGATTGTGTTTTTAGGGTGGGCCTATTGGAAACTACATACAGGCTTCACCGATGAGTTTCACCCATTAATGAACCGCAAGTTCGGTTTTAGTCTAACCACAAAGTTGCATAGGTTGTACAAAATAACACAGGGCATTTGTTTTAGAAAATATAGCTGAGTAATTTAATAGCCTTTGTGTACTCTTATAACTCTGTTAAAAAAAAAAGGAAAAAAAAAAAAGGAATCAAATTATTTCTCAAAGTTTGGCAAAAAAAAAAATCCTTGAGCAATTTTTTTGGAGAACAGTTCCAAAGTCATGGAGCCACTAAACATACAGTGCCAATACTCTGAATTGTCAATCTCATACGGCCACAAGTCGGCCATATTCAACAGCTCATGCAATTCACCTCAACCGTTGCTGGATTGCTGACGTGTACAATATGTGCACTTCAGCGGTGTGGAGCTCGGCCCTCTGGGCTTGGAATGATGCTTTATGAGGTGTGTGTTTGTATCATGTGTCGAGCGTGTCTGTATATAACAGTCTGTGATCACGCTGGTTATGTGTGTGTGGTAAACGCTGTGTGTCTGTTGGTCTGGGCTGAGGTCTGATACCTCATGTGTGGATTTACAGCAGTGGATGATGGGCCAGGGACAGTCGTTACATTTGGCTATGCACACATTCATAGTCGGTCCATGGCTTCCCAGCGGCAGCGTCATTTCCTTAGGTCTAATACACAAACCTGGAGTGGGGGAGAAAAGGTATGGTTAATTATAATTGCGAGGGACATTAATCCTCATGATTAATCACATGCAAGAAAAGAAACGCACAATTTTAAAGAACAGCAGCAAAAATAAATGACTATCAATTGGAATTTAAAATAGGGTTTGAAACATCAGATTTGCTGGGCTTTTAAGGTTGCCAAAACTCAATGATTTTATATCTGTAAGGCTCTAAAATAATAATTTTATTTAATAATATTTACTAGTGGTGTAACGGATCACAAAACTCACGGTTCAGATCACACTACGATTTTTGAGTCACGGACCGGACCATTTTTCGGATTAGCAAAAAAGGAGGAAACAAATGTCAATTGCTTTCCATTTATACAAAAAAACCCATTGGGTTTCACAAACAGAACTTAGAACCTGTAATTTTAATAAAAAATAAACATCAAGAAAGAAAATATAAATATTCTAGAAAAATATTCTATACAAAAAGGACCTTGCTACTGTTGTTGATAACGCTAAATAAAGAAATTTAACATCGCAGTAGGTATTGCTGTCGCCTCACAGCAAGAAGGTCACTGGTTCGAACCTCGGCTCAGTTGGCGTTTCTGTGTGGAGTTTGCATGTTCTCCCTGCATTCGCGTGGGTTTCCTCCGAGTGCTCCGGCTTCCCCCACAGTCCAAAGACATGCGGTACAGGTGAATTGGGTAGGCTAAATTGTCCGTAGTGTATGAGTGTGTGTGTGAATGTGTGTGGATGTTTCCCAGAGATGGGTTGCAGCTGGAAGGGCATCCGCTACGTAAAAACTTGCTGAATAAGTTGGCGGTTCATTCCGCTGCGGCGACCCCGGATTAATAAAGGGACTAAGCCGATAAGAAAATAAATGAATGAATGAATGATTCAACAGTTTTTGGCCTTGTTTTCATTATAGGTGGATCATATTTGAAAACCTATTCAGTGACATAATTTTGATGTTTGTTTGTCGCCACCTATTGGTTACACAATGTAATTGCTTTCACCAGTGTCTAACATTCACCAGCATTCAGTTCCATTAAAGAGAGCCTTTAATCTTTACAATAAACATCAGTGTTTATATCTGAACCAAACTATTCTCCAGTTCTTCTGTGTTATTTAATTGTTTGTAACTCACAAAAAAAGTGTAAAAACTGAATCTCTCTCGATTACACGCAGATTTGAATGCAGCGCTCAGAAGGATTAATAAACATGCAAATCATTATTATCATTTACTGTTCATGTTACGTGGGTTTGGATTAGGATCACAATATTTTAATGTTTAATTTTGCAGCTTTCAGTGTTGGGCAAGCTACTTGAAAAATGGGTTCTACTTTATATTAAGTGTCCTTAACTACTATGTACTTACATCAAAAAAATAAATACAACGTACTTACTGTGCTTATAATGTATTTGAGAACACTTGTTGGGATAGAGGTTGGGTTATAGACATGTTTGGTGGCATGGGTAGGTTTGAGGGTGGGTTAAGGTGTAAGGTATGGTCAACAGTGTATTTACAAATGTAATAACAAAAGTTCACTACAAATGTAACTACATACATGTATTTAATCAAGCATAAGTACACAGTAAATACATGTATTTACATAATAAGTACATTGTAACAAACTATTAATTCCTATGTAAGTACATATTAGTTAAGTCCACTTAATATAAAGTGGGCCCGAAAAATGTAGTGAGCAAAGCTATTATCTACTTAAAATGTAGCTTAACTACAACAAAAGCTACCCTCTGGGAAATGTAGGAAGCTAAGCTAAAAGCTTTTTGGCAAAAGTATCTTAGCTACATCTATTAGTTAGAAATTGTCATTCTCGCCGTAATATGGATTTACTTTCATCGGCCAGACACCACGCTATTGAGAAATGTAGTTAAGCTAGTAGCGTCACTACTTGTAGCCACTATTTCCCAACACTGGAAGCTTTACACTGAATGCATTAATGCAGGCTAAACATACAGTGACAGAAACCCCTTTAATTAACAGCCTTAGCAACCGATCATATCGAACGTGCATTTACGTTTCAAAAACGTAAGGCGCACCGCACTGGCTTTTTTGTTGACAATAAAAAAAGAAGCGCAGTGTGCTTTTTTTTTATGTCACTAGGCAACAACTGAATCAGCTGGGTATTGTGCCAGTGCGCTGTTGTTGATGTTAATATAATTTTAATATTTAATATTGTTGTGATACTTAAGATTTGTAAAGTCATACAGCTCTAGATAACTCAAAACAGCAACCACAAGTCTCTTCTGCATCTACAAAAGTCCTGGTTGTTGTCTTGACAACACAAACAGTGCAGGCGCCTTGATCGGAGGTGATTTGATCGGAGAACAAAAAAGACGTAAGTGACGCAACGCGGTTTTTCCGCACAGAGTTGACTTTTTTTCAACTGCAAGCGCACGACGTAGCCGACGGTTAAAATACTCCCACAGCTAATAGTAAAACCATTTACAAAAGGCACCAATCAACGCAAAAAGCTCATTCGGTATGATCGGCCCCAAGAAAGTATTTAGGTCCCACCACAACTTTTTCCGTCATCATTATATTTTACAGGAGCGGCCAAAATGCTTTCATACACGTGATTTAAATGACGTGGAAGGCGATCTCTCTGCAACTGTTATAAATGTTAGATTAAACTACAAGTTCAAAAAAGTTATTAATCCACAGGTCACGTGCACTCCCAACCAAGGGTTGTGATCCGTACGGGTGATCCGTTACACCCTTAATATTTACTGTCAACGTTAATATCATTACTGTTGTTTTAAAAGGGACTTATTATGCCTTTTTTTTTTACAACAAAGTCTCTGATGTCCTTAGAGTCTGTGAAGTTTCAGCTCAAAATACCACACATTTATTTTAGTAACTTTTTAAAACTGCCGCTTGTAGGCTTTTGCAGTTTTGGTGACTGTGGCTTTAAATGCAAATTAGATTGTGCTCCCAGCACTTTTTAAAAAGAAGGCGGAGCTATACATGGCTTTGTGTCACCATAGTGGCAGATTCAAAACTCTAATGACGGATGGCTGCTTCTCACTCAAGGCTGTTTATGCTAATGAGGAAGACATCGTCATTAATGCGCATGGCTTTCCCCTTCCGATGACATGTATAAAGGGAGAATGTCAAGAGATTTCTGAAGACTTATTTATTTTTTAGTGTGATTATAATAAAATACAAAAAAATAATTTTTACCATTAAAGGCTGGCTATATTCACACACTGTTAGCACACAACGGTGTTTAAACCCCTTATAAATTGCATAATAGGTTCCCCCCTTTAACAATGTATGAGACGATTCATTCTAATGTGAAACAACATGGCTGTAGTGAAACTCACCGATCCGTCTGATGCACTTGCGCCCACTTTGTCTCCAGTGGAGTTCCAGCATACTTCAAAAATACCGCCGGTCCCTCTGTAGCTGTTGACTAAAGCACCGCTCTGCAGTACACAAGAAGAGATTTGGGAACCCATCACCAATACTGCTGAATGTTAGAAAATCTCTACTTTTATTCTGCACATTATATTGAGAAGAAATGACAAGTAGAATCAGCTTTTACACAAAGCTTGCTTTTTCAGGGTATATACAGAACTTCTGAAGTTGAATTTAATACCTTTTTAATACCTTCAAAAAAAAGCACAACTTAGAGCTGCAACTGTAGTGGCGTAAATGAAATATCTTTCTAAATGGAATAACAAACTGCAACATATACAGTAAGTAAAGCAGAGGGATTAATCAAAATGTCAAAGGATATCGCTACTGTCATCCTTTCAGAAATGGACAAATGCTAGAGCGAAGCCTGAAAAAACTGGAGCAAACGATTCTTTCAGCAACCTAAAACATGAACAAACTGCCATGTTTAACTATTATCATCACCTTTTGAATTATTATGATCTCAGAATGACAGAATTACTTTCTAACAAGAGGTCACGTGTGCTGGTGAAGAATAAAGATGAGAGGTTTGTACTGACTGTACATGTTGCATGTTTTTGAACCCAGATAAGGGCTAAATGTATGTTTTAGGTATTTTTTTATTTGTAAATGGTAACATTTCAGTAAGTCTCTTTAGGTGTTCATAAATGTTTTCTTATTTAATATAATTGCAGATGTTAAAGCAGGCTATTTCGCATTATCATTAATCTGCAGAGAATCTGTTGAGAGAATTAGAAAGTTTCCGGAATTAAGTCTTATTATTAATATCGTTCAAGATGTTTAAACTAATTATTTTTTATAATTTATTCTAATAATTATAAAGATTTTTATAACCATTCAAGACTTTTCAAATCAAACTTTGAGTCATCCTTACTTTTGTTCATATCTCGGACAGATCTACCTATTAGAGTTAAATATTATTGACAACAGAACATGGGTTGCTCTACAATTATATTTGGAAAGAATAAATGCAATAAAAAGGCAATAATGGTGCAACATTCTTGACCATTATCACCAATTAAGCCTGGAAAACAGGCAGCAGCATATTGTAAACTGATAGGTTCAAATTTTCTTTTCCAGTTATCAAAGAAATGATTTATTTCTTAATTATAGTTTTAGAATTATTAAAATGTTTTAAATTCAAAACTATAATATATACATCAATGTAAAACCTATAGATGGTGACACACCAGACGCGGAATGCGCTGATAGTTTGTGATAATTGCGCGTAAATAGCCGCGTGAACATTTGAGTTTACTCGCTTCATTCACGCGTCAAATCCGATTCATTCACGCGTCAACTTCTATTCAGAACAGACGCAGATTCACGTGATGTGCAGGGCTTCTGTCTGCCCGGTGACTCTGGCTTTTTTGCTAAACGGCTAACATGGAATGTCCACTGAAGTTCAGATTTTCGAACTCGAGCGATTCGTGCGAAACACGCGCCAAACGGCAAAACGCTTAATTCGTGCTGCGCCATTCGCGCGTATCACGCCGCATGATGTCTATTCGCACGTTTGCATTGACTTAACATGTAAATCACTTGCGCTTGATGAGTGTTCCACGTCTGGTGTGAACGCAGCATAATACCGCGAATTACATTTGGACTAGTGAAATAAAAAACTACAACACCACGAAAACCTACAACAACAACAAAAAAGAATTTAAATGAGCATTAGATGTAGCGTTACAAAGATATTGGAAAAATAAGGCCTGTGCAAAAATATTTAACACCTAGAACTGCGAATTTAAGACTTTTTAAGGCCTAAAATTTAGCTTTTTACATTTTAGACTTCAAGACTCCACGGAAACCCTGTTTTCAACTTTCTTCAATATATACTTTGTGTTCAGATTGTTCTTCTGAGCAAATTATTTCTTTCATATCAAAGGTTACATTTTGAATAAATTGAATACAATTATTTTTAATTGCAATATTTCACAACATTATAGTTTTTCCTCTGTCAAATAAATGCCACCTTGCTGAGAAGAAGCTTCTTCTTTTCTTTTGGTCAACTATGAACAGGTAGCCAAGGCAAATGTATGCAGCGAATTGCTCATTTTATTCATCTGACACGAATGAAAAATTAGTAAAGCGATGGTTAAAGACCCTACAGTACCTGCGTGTTCCAGATATGGACACACTTGTCGAAGGAGCCACTGGCCAGGTGCCGTCCATCTGGGCTGAAGGCCACACTGTAGACGGGCTCCTGGTGTTTGGTCAGAGTGTGGATGCAGGCTCCACGTTCAGCATCCCACAGACGCACCGTTGAGTCGAATGACGCACTTCAGGCACAAAATACAAAAAACAAATCTACTGTAGTGTGTATACATCAGACATCGGCCGATATTTAGTAATTCTATACAGTATAATGCGATAATGAACATATGATATAGTGGGCACTCTAAATAATCAATAATTATTCACAGTATTTTAAGATGGTTGTCTTCAGTCATTTTTGTTGTGCTGGTTGATACCGGTTAAAGTACGGCATCCAAATGTATTTATATGTATTTTTTGTCAAATAAGTTTTTTATTTGGTCATTGAATAAACTTACAATAATCACAGGATTAGTTTTCTGATATGCATAAATTTACAAAAAAAAAAAAAAAAAAAAACACCCCAAGCCCAGCCTGTAAGTATACACTACAGTGATAATCAAAACAACTTTTAGTTACAATACATTGCTTTGGGGGGAAGAATTATAATAAGCATTAGGTCAGGATCTATATGTTGATCAAGAACATCTGAAAGCACTTTAAAGACCTCATTCCAGAATCTCTGTATTTTATGACAGAATACAAAACTATGAGCTAAATCAGCTTCTTCTGATTTGCACTTATCACAGATGGGAGATATGTTGGGGAAAATCCTATGTAATTTTGGAGAAATGTAGCCTATGTAAGACCTTGAACTGGATGAGGCATAGTCTAGTGTTGATTGATTGTTTATCAATGTCCTCTAAGCTATTCTGCCAAATCTCTTCCGAAATTTTGATGCCAAACTCTCGTTCCCATTCTTCTCTGATCATCTTTGTAGTGGGGGCATTAGCTGCAAATAACCTTTTATAAATTAGAGATAGTTGATGTTTTTGTCCCCTGCACTGTGTGAGACAATCATCAGCAATTGAGGGCGGGACCTCCTCTAGGGAAACATTATGTGTGCGCAGGTAATTTCTTATTTGTAAAAATCTGAAAAAATGTATTTTTGGAAGGTTATATTTCTGTTGTAATTGAGTAAAGGAACCTAAAACACCATCTATATAAAGATCCTTAACTGTGTTTATACCCAACTTCTTCCATTGATTAAAGGTTGTATCTAATTTTGAAGGGAGAAATTATGGGTTATTTGCAATTGGGATTAGGAAAGAAAGTGATTTTATCTTAAGATACTCTCTTATCTGTCTCCAAATACGTAACTGATTCTTTGTAACAATACTATTAACTACTGTTTGGTCTGTTATCACTGGAGATAATAACATTGCTCCAAGATCATAAGGATGGCAGCAATCTCGCTCTATCTTAAGCCAGTCTGGGGCAGTAGCCGATTGTTCCAACCATAATGTGAAGATTTGAATGTGTGTAGCCCAGTAGTATAGACGAAAATCTGGGAAGGCTAAACCCCCCTCCTGTTTGGGTTTACAAAGATGATTTTTTTTTTTATATGTATTTTTTATTCTGGGTACGGACTAAATAACGTGGCCAGTACCTGGCCAGCATGAGGTTGGCATTGGGGTTGTTGGTTCCAGGTCCAGTTGGGCTCCATTTTATGGTGTAGATCTCCTTACTATGGGCTTGCAGGTCATGAACGCAAGTGTCCTGCTTCATACTCCAAAGCTGACATTCAATACACACAAGTCCACATTATTAATAAACTATTAATTCAGATATGTAAGTGAAGAGTTTTCCATCAAGGTAGTGAGAAATCAAATCAAGGTTGTTTGCAGATCACCTTTAGCGTCATGTCATCAGAGCAGGAGGCCAAGAGATTCCCTGTCGGATCCCATTTGATTGCATTGACTTCATTCTGAGGAAAGAGTTTAAAGAGTGATCACTTAAGGCCTGTTCACAACAGTTATTGACCATGTAACAGTTATACCACGTAAATGAAGTCAGAATATATGCACTATTTCTACTATACTGGATATAAGAGGCTTACTGTGTGGCCCTGGAATGTTTTGATTGGTCTTTCCTGGCCCAATTTACACACGTGAATACACATGTCTGTGCTGCAGGATGCAAATGTGTTGTTGCTCTGCCAGTCCACGTCCAGAGCTGGAGCTGAGAAGACAAAAATGAGCCATTCTTGACTATTCTTTTCAAGCAAGTTCACATACAATTGGCACATTTGGATAAAAAAAAATCTGAATTAGTAAAATTGACTAAATGTCAAAATTTAGACAAAAACGTCCTGCTTGTGATTTTTGTCACTCACCTGAATGGAATGGAAACTGTTGTTTGGCCTCTCCTGTGTGTGCGTCCCAAATAATGGTGGTCTGAAAGTTACGCAAACTCATTAACATTTCAGTTTCACCACATACTACTTGATGGAGTACAACAGGGCTACAGACTAAGGGGCCGTTTACACAGAATGCATTTATCCTTTCCAACACGCTACTTTTCTATTGTATTCCAATGTAAACAAGCAGTTGACGGACGTGTTTTAGCATTACATGTTATTGCATGCCATGTCAACATCTTCAACTTTACACAAGCAGCGCAGCTCATCACTGTTAGCTCCAAAAGCAGAGGGCCAATCAGACGATATTGGAGGTGGGGCAACAATTGCAAACTAGAAAGTTGGCATGACAACAGTTTTATTTACCATTGTATCATGGCAGATTGGGTACGCATTGTAGCTTTGTCAAGAATATCCTGAGTTATATGATGTACAATGGGGGGAAAAGTATTTAACACGTCATTATTTTTCTCAGAAAACTTATTTCTAAAAGTCCTGTTGACTTGAATTTTTCAGCAGATGTTGATAACAACCAAAGAAATACATATATGAAAGGAAATCAATTCTAATCAGTTTACAAATAAAGCTGTGTAATAAAATGTAATGACACTGAGAAAAAAAAGTACTGAACACATGAAGAAAGGGAGGTGTGGAAAGGGAGTGAAAGCTCAGACAGCAGCTGAAATCTCTCAGTAGTTATTCAGCAAGCCTCTTCCTTAATTATTGTAAATGTAAAAGAACCACTCACCAGATATCTTAATAGTTGTGTGGGTCTTGGCTAATCTGATTTTTGTTTTGTATTTTCTATTGGATTCAAGTCAGGTGATTGGCTGGGCCATTCTACAGCTTGATTTTCTATCTCTGAAAGCATTTGAGAGTTCTCTTGGCTGTGTTTTGGATCATTGTCTTGGATGAAATGTCCACCCTGGTTTCATCTTCATCATCATGGTAATTTATATGTTGGACTAAAGCAGCTAATTTAAAAAAATAAATTGTGTTTTACGACAAGCACCGCACATCTCTTTCCATGCCTCAACGTAAGCTGTCACAATTGAATTTAGCAGCTGATGTGCGTTCTGAATGTGTGTGATGGCACGCTTCAGAGACCAGCCAAGACTGATCACACCAGTTTGATTATACAAGCAAATTTTCACTTCGCTAATTTCTGTTCTGAGCTGATTCATGGTCAAAGTAGTGCACAGTTCAAATTAGACCTTTTGTTTGGTTGTTTTGTCTCATACTCAGCAGGAATGGCAACACTTGTCAGTTTTAAACTAGCGCATTGGTAGTTACACCATTGCAAATTCTAACAAAACTTAGCAACACAGACAGAAACCCATTTAATCCCAGACTGGAGCCCTGTAATATGACATGCACATGCATATGATTATACTTTACCTTATCAACACCAGCGCTGAGAATAAAATTTCCTTTCTTGTTCCACTTTAAAGCAAATATAGGACCTTTGTGCTGGCCCAGTGTACTGGCAAGATTACCTGCCAGGAATAAAATGTTGATTAGATGAACAGATTTTTTTCAACTCATGATAATTAAAAAAAAAAAAAAAAAAAAAAAGTTAATGAATCTCACCATCTTTAGTCCATATCCTGGCAAATCCATCATAGGACCCTGTGGCTAGAAGTGTACCTTCACTCTGTCCAACACAAAAGACAAATGTGAAATTAAATAATTTGCTCTATGATGTGATAAACGAGTGTGTATGTGTGAGAGGAGTCATGAGCGTTAGTCCCAGAACTCACATTCCAGTCCAATGAGGTGACGTCTTTGTTACTTGGTACATCCTGCCCCCCCTCCCGAATGCAGTGGCGAAGCACCAGCTGAGTGGATCCTCCAGTGCTGCTCTCACTCAGGTTCCAGATCCGTGCAGTCGAGTCTCCAGAGCTGATGGCAACCAAAAAGACACAGAGATAAAGTCCTATTCGGAAATGACAAAATATTATGCTGAGACTAGACATATGACGATATTCAATATGTCATAGTGTCGTCACAATACTGGAATTTGGGTAATGTCATTTTAAAAACATCCATTTTCTGCTAACATTTGAACGCTGTTGAGCACATACTTAAACACCGCTGATTGCCCACTGAGTTCACCTGTTATGTTAGCAAGAAATGGACGATTATAAAACGTCAGTACAGATTGGTACCTAAATTTCAATATTGTGACAAATGTTGCAACGTGTGCAATGGTAAAGGTAGAATGACTATATTACCCCCTGTGCTAAAAATAATCTTCCAGATGGGGAGCTAGTGGCTGGGATGCACAAGAAAAGAAACCAAAAAGCCACTCTGGCGACATCCTTACATCATTTATTTACAATGTCCTCACTGCTGCTATACTGCACTCATTTTCACATGTGTTGTTATTCTGACCTGAAGTGACAATGATGCAACCCAAAATTCACACATTAAAAGCGTGAGTGCGTGATCCTCTTCACCATTTTCTATGGCGTCTCTCGTAACTAGGCAAAACTGTTTTTTCAGAGATTACAAACAGACAAACCATTGCTGCAGCTTCGATGCAAGTTTATGGGGAAAAGTAAAAAGCACTGCAGTGTTTGGATGTGCTGTGTTTGTCTCAGGTAATTAGTCTACCGTTATTGCTGAAATCTGTATATTCCATACAAAGTGTGAAGCACAGTGGTTAGTTTAACTTGCATGAATCACGGTGCACTCGCAGCATTCAGACAAGTTCAGCAGCTCCCATGTGTGTGTCGTGCAAGTCGCGTGCCTCCATTGGAAATGACAAACTCACCCCCTAAGCTTATTGGCATTCCTTCCAAGGTGCATACTTAGCAGACACATTTTAATAAAACTACAGTGCTTTATACCACCAACCACGGCGAATGAAGCTCTGCACAAGACTTTTGGCCAGCGGAGAAATTAAAATGGTTGTGCCCAACTGAGTCTGGTTCTCAAGGTTTTTTTTCTTCACTCCCATCAGGTGAAGTTTTTTTTCCCTCTCCGCTGTCGCCACTGCCTCGCATGGTTCAGGATAGGTAGAGCTACGCATCGATGAATTGGCTCTTCAGTGTTTGAACTCTCAGTAATGATTAAATCACACTGAACTGAGCTAAACTGAACTGAACTTAAACACTAAAACTTGGACCACACTGTTCCAGTTACTATGACCATTTATGTGAAGCTGCTTTGACACAATCTACATTGTAAAAGCGCTATACAAATAAAGCTGAATTGAATTGAATTATACCTAAAGTCTATACCAAACTTTTTATTTATTTATTTTTTAATCAAAATTGACAATGGTGTTCGGTCAACAAATGCCGATATCGATTTTATTGCCCAGCCCCATGTTATTCCAGCCTAAAACTCATATAAAGTTATAATGCTATTATATTCCCGAAATCATTCCGTATGAATCCGCAGATTTTTTTTTTTTACTAATTTCGCAGCAAAAATAGTAAAAAAAAAAAAAGAAAGTCTGCAGGTTCTGTCCAACCCTACCTATAACATACTAAAATATAAGCCTCCATAAGCTATTTTGCAGCATAATTTTTTTCCCTTTCCATTTGAATGGCTTTGTTACACTAATTAAGACTTTCCATGGCCTTAAATATTAACTTTAGTGACTGTCTAAACTGTGGCTTTGATACTGACCCAGATGCCAGCAGATCACTGACAGGGTTCCATGCACAGATGAAGACCTCTGACTCGTGGCCGCGCAGCACCATGGCCTTACTGGCTGGGATCTCCACGGCTCGGTCTACCTCCATCATGTCTGAGTGGTGGTCTGTCAGAGGAAAAGGCAGAAACCATTTCAGAGAAATCTTACATCCAGTAAGTGGAAAACACCATGATCTTCATTAGAAACAACGCCTTTTGTACAAACTGACCACATTGATTGTTTTACCGCAGCTTTAAAAGGCCTCCCACCTTTCTGAAAGGGTGTTAGCAGGCTTTTACCCCATGGTTTTGAAAACCTAGCATTGCTTTTACAGATTAAACCACACACTACAGCTCTTAATAAACTCATTAAACATTCATATCTTCTTTATAACCACAGAAGCGTCCATGCCATATTTCATTTTGCATCATGCTAAATGGCTAGATTTCCAACATACTTCAAAATGTCTCTTTTTTTGTGCAACAGAAGGAAACTCAAAGGTTTGAAACCACTTGAGAGTGAGTAAATATGGAGTACATTTTCATTTTAGGGTGCACTATCCCTTTAAGTGTCAAACCCCTCATCAAAGTGAGCAAATGATGAATAACCAGTTTTTCATGAGGTTAAAACTGTACTATGAACTACATATACTTCTGTTATTAGAAAGCAGCGTGTGCGCTTACTAGACAGCGTGTGAGCGCCGTTCTCCTCCCCATTAGCCGTGTTCTCTCCGTTCTTGGCAGCAGCAGCTGTTGTGGCGCTGGAGGCGGAGGCTGCTTGCTGCTGAGCCAGCTTATCCTTATACACTTGCTGCCTTGTTTGCACCACATCTGGCATCACTGCATCAATCAGCGACAGAGACTCGATCGGCCGCCCATCAAACAGCGTACCATCCTGTGAACGCATCACAAAACGAGCAAGATAACATCAGTTCTGGCACCTTACAATATAACAGTCACCAGATGTCTTAAATAGTTTATTAATTTTAGAATGAGCGCAGGAATGTTGGGGAGAGCAGAATAAAAGTCTGAAAAGCCACATTTTACATTTACACTGTAGGGCTGTACGATTGATATTACAAAAATCTGACAATGCAAAATGTAGTTTTTCTTCATTACATATTGTGAAATAAACACAATTCAACCAGATAGCTTGAAGGTTATCTATTATGCCCCGTTTTACAAGATGTAAAATGAGTCCCTAGAGCAGGGGTGCTCAATCCTGTTCCTGGAGATCTACCTTCCTGTACAGTTTAGCTCCTACCCTGATCAAACCCACCTGAACCAATTAATTAGGACCTGAAATCCACTTGATAATTACAGACAGGTGTGTTTGATAAGGGTTGCAACTGAAATCTGCAGGAAGGTAGATCTCCAGGAACAGGATTGGCCACCCCTGCCCTAGATTGTGTACAGGGCTCAACAATAAGGACTGCCCGATGGCCCAGGGCCAGCATGAGAGACGCTTGGAACAGTAGACAGGATCATTACTGGCCCGATTAGGACAGTGCTGCCTAGTCACTAAAATTTTAATTTGTCCGCTACTATTTCTTAATTGCGTACATTTTAAGTTTGTGCTTTTAAGTCTTTAAATGCTATCTTCTCTGTGTTGTCGTAAACACCATATTTGTTTTCAGTTCCTCTTATCTGATTTGATGTTTTGAGCATGCTATTTTTCCTGTAACCTGGTAACAACCAGTACAGCGAAGAAACGGCAACATCAAATTATATAACTTGAAGAAAATGTCTGTTTCTAACGTCTTGGAAGCAGACATTTACATGGGAACAACATGACAAAAAAATTAAGTGATGTTTTGCACAATTTGCCGTCAGTTTAACAAGTCAACCACCACATTTTACTTGTCTGCATAACATAATTTTGCTCATTATACATTTATTAACATTTTTAAAGTATTGAAATTCTAGATTCACAGACATTATTTTTGACACCTTCTTTAAAATATGTGCCTAAAAATGAGCTATTAACTTCTCTCTCTTTTTTTTTGGTGGGGCCAGTGAAAACTTTGGCAGGGCAAGTAAAAATCTGAACCACTGGCCCGATCCGACCAATAAAAAGAATCTTTAGCGTTGAAACCTGGTGTATGTAAAGTTTCAGCTCAAAATATCCCACAAATAATATTTTATAGCTCTATGAATATGCCCCTTTTAGACTTTGATTCTAATTGTGTGGTTTTGGTGACTTTAGCTTTAAATTCAAACGAGACTGTGCTATTTTCAAAAGAGGGCAGAGCTATAACTGCCTGTGTGTCAGCATAGTAGAAGACTCAAAAACGAGACTAATGTCCTATGATAATGAAGGAGAGATCGTCACTAATGGACGGGGCTTTTGCCCTCTGATGACACGTACAAAAGGAGAATGGCAATCTAAGCGTTTCTGCAGACTTTTTTTATGAAATGTGATAACAAATAAAAATGTTAAAAACTATACCAATAGAAGCTGGTTTTATTCACAGACTGTTGCCACACGACTGTGCTTAAACCCCTTATAAAAGTGATTTTTGCATATTAGGGTCCGCTTTAAATAGCTTAATTTGGAAATACGTCATTCATTTAGAATGATTGGGATGATTTTGGATTGAATAGTTCATAGGATATAATAAACATACAACAAACAATTAAAAACAAGAGGAAAGATGAATGTGAAAGTAACAGTGCTTTGTGGTTTTCCGTTGAGTCAAACAGTACTCAGGTACAAAAATTGAATAATCAAATGCAAAATAATGCTGCATAGTCTTCAGTGTATAAATCATTTGATTTAAAAAAAAAGATAAATGTTACATTTTCTTGTGTTCGAACTGGCTTAAAATGCTAACAGTCACAGACCTTAAGCACATAAAAATGACTTTAAATGATTCTATTGTGGTTAAATTCTAAAACCTGTGGCTCCTGGTTATCTATAATCCAAACTCAACATTGCTTACCTTGCGATGTGACTATTGCAGAGAAGCACATTGCGATAGCAATGCTGATACATGTTCAGGATTGCTAAAAAAAAGACTTTTTAATATTTTTGGGGACTTTTGAGAATTTATGTTTTGTTGTTAGGGTTACAAATCCCAGTCAATGTAACAACAGTCATACCATTACATATAGTTGGAACTCAGAATTTTTAGCACCCCCTTTATATTTTTTCCTCAAATTCTGATTAATGGAGAGATTTTATCAATACATTTCTAAACATAAGCTTTAATAACTCGTTTCTAATAACTGATTTCTTTTATCTTTGCCACTGTCACAGTATATTTTACTGGATATTTTTCAAGACACTAGTATTCAGCTTAAAGTGACATTTAAAGGATTAACTAGGTTATTTATGCAAGTTGGGATAATTAGGCAAATTAACCATCATAACAATGATTTGTTCTTTAGACAATCGAAAACAAAATACTGCTGAAGAGGTTTTATAACATTGACCTTAAAATGACTTATTAAAAACTGCTTTTATTCTAGCCGAAATAAAACTAATAAGAAGAAGAATAAATATTATAGGAAATACTATGAAAATTTCCTTGCTCTGTTAAACATCATTTGGGAAATATTTGAAAATATTTTGGCTAATAATTTTGATTTCACCTGTACATTCTATTCTAATTAATCCTTCAGCTATACTGTAAATATGGTTATGGTAGCAGCACTGACCTCATTGATGCTGACTTCAGCCTCCACGTACTGCAGGCCTTTCTGGATGATGGAGATGAGGGCAGCAGGGGGCACCAGAGCTCCGTTAATGTTAGACTGGCTGATGTGGCTCTCTATGCCAAAGGTGAATGCTGAGTGGGAGAAGCCTGATGAAAAAAGAAGACAGATCACGTTACAAACCATGTAGTTTTGGAATTGTTTGATAACTAAAAATAAATGAAATAAATAAAAAGTATGCACGATATAAATAAAAATGTAGAGCTGTGAAATTATGATTTTACAGTTTCATTTGAATGTAACGTTTCACCACAACATTTTTGTTAAAGAAGGTAAATCTCACTCACTTTCCTTCCGCTTATTCCCTGCTTTATCAGGGGTCGCCACAGCGGAATGAACCGCCAGTTTTTCTGGTGTATGTTTTACGCAGCAGATGCCCTTCCTTTAAATACAATTTTTCAATTCTATTTTTAGATGTATTTGCAAATGTTGGTTAGACACACTGACGATATGACATGATGATAATTGTTATATCAATATGGGATAAGATGTGTGTTTATTATTACACCTTTGACCAATTTGTGAGGTGCACATGGAATATAACTAATTAACCAGATGTTTGACATTTTACTAACTGGCTTTCCTTTGATTTAATCCCTGAGGGATTCGCCACAGTGGAATCAACCGCCAATGTTTTATTTTTTTATAAAAATAAATAAATAAAAATGTTAGTTGAACCATACTGTAGCTAAAACCAACTAAATAAATATCACTCACTATCATCGGGTTAGTCCCTGGTTTGTGAGGGGTCGTCACCGCAGAATGAACCACCAATTACTCTGGCATATGTTTTATGCTAGTGTTTCGCAACCATGTTACTGGAGGACCACCAGCACAGCATATTTTAGATGTCTGATTTGTCTGTCTCACCATTTACAGGTCTTACAGTCACAGCTAATGAGCTGATGATCTGAATAAGATGTGTTTGGTTAAAAAGACATGTGCAGCATCCCAATTCGCATACTATTCATCCTTAATAGTATTCAAAAAAAAATTTATAGCTGCGTCCCAATGACTGTAAAAAATATGGACGACGCGACAGCCCCTTTTCCCATTGAACGCCTTGAGGGCAAAACGCCTGCTTGACAGGCACAAACTGTCGCAAAAGACTGCTGAAATTGGAGCCTTGACATGCGCAGAAGGATTGTTTGATGGAGCCAGAGGAGGAGCCGCGAAAAAGTCGAGCTTCCAACCAAACGCTTTATGTAAAATCAACCACGCCCCCCGAACTTCTCAGCATGCGTTTGCTGTCATATCAACACAAATGGATGTAATAACGTTAACAAATATGAGGGTTTTATATATTCAATCGCGCCAGCTCCGGGCCGCAGCCCATAACTTACTTGCGGCGTCGCGGGCTGATTCCGGCTCGCATGCGGCAGCGCCGGCTCGCTCGGCCGCCGCATCTGGCTCGATTGACTCGGGCTGGAATTGGGTAGTGAGTCCAGGCATCCGGAGTAGGTCCAGCAGAGGTAGTCAGTCTGAGCTCTAAGAGATAAGTCTCCGGCAGGCGAGAATCCAGCCGGAACTGTGTTTTGCTATCTGGGTGCCTAGGCGTGTATCAGCAAACTAATAAAGCCCGAAAAAAGCCCTGAACGTAGCGAATAAACAGTGTTCCACCAGGATCCTGTATGCCAGAAACTATAGTTTACTGCTGAACTCATTTTGTCATGGTAAAATAACACAGAAATCGAATAATAACATTTCAGTCTACTTCAGTCTCCTGCCGAAGCTCAGACGCCGCGCTTTGAGAAACTGTCAATCACAGCTGTCAATCACGATGACACGCCCAGCATTAAATTACTGCTAAAAACAAACTGTTTACAAAAATGAAGATCTGCACCTATTTTAGCACAATAATCAGTGCCTTAATCGACCAGAACCATCTTTCGGGACATTTTATTGCAAGTAGGGATGTAACGGTATTGTAAATACCGTCATACCGCAATATTATTTTTTTTCGATATTACCGAAGTCGCATGACTCGGTAAAACTATAGGTCTTCTGAGAAAATTTGCTCAGGCGAATGAAGTGAACGGGATGTAGCGAAAACTACAATTGCCATCAGCCCATGCTTGACCATCATCCCTTGCGGTCTGTTGTCGCTACAGATCCAGTAATGCGGAAATGGAGTGTGCTGCTAGAAGCGGGGATGAAAAGAGCTGGAAAACTCTAAAGCAGGTCGCACACCAGAAGCGGCGCTCGGCGGCGCGCCGCGCAGCGCCACGCAGCGCCATGTATTTTAGAATTCTAAACATAGGTTTCTATCAGGATACACACACCGGCGCCGCAAGTCGGCGGCTGTCGGCGGCGCCCGGCGACGGCTCAGGACGCAGTTCATTTTTCAGCCGCGCCACAGAGCGCCATCTGATCAGTTTCATGTTAAATATCATTCGAATGTGCGCGTCTGGTGTGTGATACCTTTAACTGTCATGTACATCTGAAAACGGAAGCTGGGCTGCAGACATTCGCCTCTCTGATTGGGGCTTTTCCTGAATATTAAGTAGCCTAACACGCACAGTTCAGTCCTGCATTATCTCCGTGTAAGTTCAGACTTCGCAACTTTGATCAAGGCTGCAGTCTCTTCTTTTCAGTTTGATATGGAAAAGCAGATTATACCGAGGACACGGGTAAATCTTCAAAGGGAACAGTGTACTTTATAACTTCATTCACATCACCCTGGCTTCGTTGTTTCACTTTCTCAACAATAAAATGTAAACATGATTTAAGGAACTGCCTATTTTCATTTTAATATTAGCAACTTAGACAGCAGACATGTTGAGGCGTCGTGCTGCATATATGAGCGTCATCTTCACTGTGTGGATATTTATAACAAAACTGAGCCGATAAAAACACTGCCTCCTTTCAATTTCAGTGAAAATACGAAACACACCCTCTCTTTTGCTGAGTATCGGTTTTAAGAATCGATAATGGCCATTTTAAAAGTATAACATACAATAAGTTTATACATCATAGGAAATAAAGGCAAGCGATCAGTCAATATACAGAATAGGCTACGGTTACATTAATCATTAACTTATCTTTGCGCTCAGCCAAAACACGTTACCTGAGAACAAGTAATAGATTCCAATGCCCAAAGTCAGGGAATATGTCGTTAGATAAACACAACAAGATAAATGAAATATCCCGTTTAATAAATATAGTGAGATTAGATCCAGCGGGAGATGCTTGATGAGAAGTCCGACTAGCAGAGCTCTCATCTGGGTAGATGGGCTGAGTGTGATTAAATGTTGAATGTGATGAGTTTTCAACAATACTAAATTGAAACTTTATTTTTTTACATGGTTTAATAATTTTTTGTTATTAAAATTGAAGTTCCTGTTTCAAAGCTTACAGATAGATGGCTAATTTGTATGTCATTGACACTTTTGGCACTTTTTTGGAGTATTTTCATAAGTTTTGTTTTTTCCTGTAAATGATTCAATAAATACCGTACCGTGACATTCATACCGAGGTATTACCGTACCGTGAAATTCTGATACCGTTACATCCCTAATTGCAAGTGTAATATTTTTTTTTATTTGGGCTCAAGTCTCCTTCATTAACACGGAGGAGGCGGGCTTTATGACTTGTACTGCAGCCAGCCCCCAGGGGGCGATCTAACGGCCGAGACCCTCACTCAAACGTAGGCTTGCGGCACACTTGCTGCGTTCCAAATGGCACACTATACACTATGTACTTACACACTCAACAGGATAGTATATGTATGTAGTGTCGTCCCAAATGGCACACTAATGTTTTTTTACTAAGCGGAAATTCAAACCGTTTCCCTGATGACGTTTGACGGTTGCCAAATCAGTGAAATAAACGACCGAATTATCAAGTAATACCTGCCGTGAGTATTGCCGCATTCACCATCGGGAGGCGCTATAATCACTCTCGTAGGAGAATTTTGCTTTCACCATCCATAATAAAGTTATTCAACATGTGCGTCCGATAGATCCGCCCCTTCCGCTACGCAAGCAAACCTGCGGTCGTTGAGTGCGTGAAGTGTCCATCAGTCCACACTTCATTTTAGCGGCTGAATGAGTGCATCATCCGGGTAATTAAAGTGCACTTATTATTTTTAGAGTTTTCAGTGTGAACACACTACTTACACTATTTATACTACAAAATGGCGTAGAATAGTGCATAAGTATGCGATATGGGACGCAGCTAATGTCTTAAATCATAGTATGTTGAAAAGAGTACGCCAAAGGTTCCTGGATGGTTTACTATTTCCGGTAAAAATTCGAAGTGTAGAAGCATCCAGACTTCAACTGGTAATATTGCCCACAATATATTGCGCGTTGGACATGAATTTGGTTAGAACTACAAACTCTGGTAAAAAGTGTAAAGTACAAACAGGGCAGACATGGGAGGCCAACCGTCAAGTAGAAATGCTTGTTTGAATGACTGTTAATTAATATCTAGCCAATTTCAACATATTTAAACTGCACTTTCCATGTTATATTTCATCTGCAACAGCAATGTAAACTCATATCAAGATATGATTGAACATCAAAATCTGAACCCATAATTACCCAAAGACCAGAGGAGATCTCTCTGCATGAAAGACTTACGAATGGCAGATTATCCTACTGCTGCTTCTCCGATAAGGTAGAAAATTAAATATGAAGAAATGTGGATGATTGACGGGACATAACTAAGCAAAATAACAATCTGTTAACGAGGAAGTAGTATGTGCCAAAGCTTGCATAATCTGCTGTTACACACTCAAAAGTATATACTTTTCCAAAAAAAAAAAAATAGTACATACTTTTAGGATGTAGTATAAATTTGTGAATTAAACGCAGCAATGGAAAATGTACAGAGCTGGTGGTCCTCCAGGAACGTGGTTAGGAAACACTGTTTTATGTCCTTCCCAAAAAATAAAAAATACAAATTATCTTGGATTGGTCAAATGTTTAAAAACATAACTTTTTACTTTCTCTCATATTGCCTAGCAAAAACTATTTTTACATAGGCCTATTTAACACTTTCATACGCAAGTTTTAAATACTTCTGGTGGCCGTGATGTACGAGTATTTTTTAATATGGCCATTCATTTCATATATCATGTTTTTCTATAAATATTGGCAAACATCTTGATAACATTGAGAAATCTCAGACATATTGACTTATACGTATGAATAAAAGAACGTGTATTTTGTCGTTTAAGTGACTTAATGTTCATATTTCATATATTATGGCTGCTGCAACATTGTAGGAGAGATTGGAGCTGCTGGATTTACATGGTAATTCTCAATTATCTCCCAAAATACATAAGTGGCTGTGGCTTATGTGAATAAAACACATCGCCCAGTTATATTTAAAAATCATTAATGTTGCCTAAAAATTAGAGTGACTTTACTAATGATACGTGTACTATTTTGCTAGTAGTTGTGTATTTGAATGTCTGAAACTTAAAATACCAGTAGTTTGTTTGAAAACACTGATAAACTGTGGTTTGAGCTTAGCAGTTAGCAGAAGAGGTTCGTTCTGAACATTCCGATCACACCAGTGTGATCGTAAGTGTAAAATTGGATTTCACTGGTTTATGCGGGTCGTATAATTAACAAATGATATTTAATTCCGCTGTTAATCATTTCTCCGAAAGAACAGCATGTTTTTTAAGATGATGAGACACACACACATACCTGACTCCTGCAGGTATCTGTACACCAGGAAATTGACCTCATCACTGCTGATGCTCATTTTGGATCCTGGGTAAACCAAGAGGTCAGGGTGAGACTGGAGCCTAGAAAACAGACATGTCTGTTACTCTTTTGCATATATTAATATTACTTGCTACAGAGAATATGTTTAGTAAACAGCAAAAGCAGAGAGTCAGTAAAGGCCAGTTGTAAGCCTAAACCAAACAACTAGCACATACAAAACCCAATTGTCCCTTGGAGATTCCAGTCATTTGGTGTCAGTACTAAAATGCATTTCATAAAGAATTTGCCCTTTGTCCATCATCTTCAATTTTATCATTCGAAATTAGGATTCATTTTCTAGCCTTTTTAATAAGGTAAAGCACAAAGCTATTAGGACTGTGCAATTAATCGAAAATCCGATTTCGATTACGGCTTCTAGCGATTATGAAAAACCATTAATCGAGATAAACGATTATTCCATTATTTACCGCCCCCTTTCCAGTTATCCTCACTTGTTGCTCTTAAAAGCGCGAAAGACCGCATGCTTATGTGAGTGTGTGTGCGGCGCACAGACAGTCAGAAGACGGTCAGCACTTGGTCTCATTCTCACATTCCGACGAGCAGAGAGCACACACGTCTAAAGTCATTAACTTTAGCGCTTTAATGTTCAAATAGGTATAAAAACGCAGTGTTTAGTGATTATTCATATTAACCCTCATTTGTGTAATAAACAAACGAGTTGAGAATCAAAAGATGCGTGAAAGCGAAACCATTAAAGTGACAGAGCACAATAGCTGCCGCCTGTTTTATCATGATTAATACAACCCCTCTCCCTCTTGACTGAAGGACTTTTGTAGCTAAAGTGTTTTTCTTACAGTGAAGATGCTTAAAGCAGTTTGTTTCATATTTTTATTTTATTGTATTTATTTCTCTTTCCTTTGCAGGGTGGAAAATAACTGTATATATGCAGTTGAAGTCAGAATTAATAGCCCTACTGAATATTAGCAACCCTTTTTCTCCCCAATTTCGGTTTACTGGAAAGAAGTTTTATTTTTTCAACACATTTTTAAATATAATAGTTTTAATAACTCATTTCTAATAACCGATTAATTTTATCTTTGCTATGATGATAGTACATTATATTTTAGTAGATATTTTTACATACAAACATTTAAATTCAAAGTGTGATTTAAAGGCTTAATTAGGGTAATTAGGCAAGTCATTGTATAACAGTAGTTTCTTCTGCAGACAATCAAAAATATATATTGCCTAAAGGGGCTAATAATATTGACCTTAAAAGAGGTTTCAAAATATTTAAATCTGCTTTTACTCTAGCCAAAACAAAACAAATAACCCTTTCATTAGAGCAAATACTGTTAAAATTCGTTACTCTGTTAAACATAATTTGGGAAATATTTATTTTTAAAAAATTCTCAGGAGTGCTAATAATTTTGACTTCAACTAATAATCGTTTGGAATAATCTTGATTACAATTATGACCAAAATAATTGTGATTATGATTTTTACCAAAATCGAGCAGCCCTAAAAGCTATACTCCAATTTTGTATTATTTAAACACAAACATTTATTTGTCTAATAATAATGTTATAGTAATAATGAATACAGCTGACTGGAACATTTTCAAACCATCTTTTTTTTAAATTTACTGTTCAACAGAAAAAGAACAGATGTCAAACTACACATCCTCACCACTTTCCATTAGCTACATTTTATACATGATACACATTCAGCCACATGTCAATACCAAGAAAATTCAACTAAGAAAAACAACATATAGTAAACGCACATGGAAATTAAGGTTGTCGTACCCTTCTGAGTCATAAGCCCCTTTCACACATACAGACCTTTCCAGAAAATTACCAGCCATTTTCCGGAAAGGTCTGTATGCGTAAACAGGCCCTTTTTGAAAATACCGGTAAATTCGTTCCGGCTATTTTTTGGAAAGAGAAGTTGTAACATTAGCGGTAATTTGCTGGAATGCTGTGCTGTGGGAACGCAGAAAGAAAATTGCCGGAAAGAGCACGTGCACGTCTAGAAAGTGTTTACGTGAGACGTCTTTTTAGCCAATCAGAACACAGACGCATTCACGTCCGCGCAGTTTATGAAAATAAAAGCCTTTGAATTTTTCCAGACACATTTAGCTGCTGGATGTTAGTCAAATGACGTTTATATGTTCCTTCTTAAATGGCAACTGTGTAAATAATTATCGATTAGATGGTTATGATAAGCCGTTGTTTGTTTACCTTCAAGCTCTACTTCCTTCAGTTGCTTGATGCATCGCTTGTGCCCGTGAAGGAGTGAGCGCCAGCACACACACATATAATGTAAATCTCAAAATGCAAAAGTGTTTCTCTATATGTTTTTATCGAATTTGTTCACAATACTGATCCATACACAGAGTTTGAGGTAATTTTTGGTTAATGATGTCAGAATTTACCAGTATTTTGGAATGGATGTGTAAATAGTCTTTTCCGGAAAAATTCATGTGTGAACAATGCTTTTTTGAATTTACCGGTAAAGCCGTTCCGGACATTTTCTGGATATTTACCGGTATCACTGTGTGAAAGGAGCTTTTCACATTTACCCTTCTTTTAAAAGTCGACAGAAATTATCCCAATGTCTATGCACTTCTTCCTTATAATTTAATCTCCCCAGCATACACTCGTCTAATGCAATGTCAATCACATCAATTTCATTGAACCACTCTTTCATTTCTGTCATTCTGAGACATTTTGAACCATTTTTGTTAGAAGTGTAAATGTTGATTCTGTATGTACATCAACCAAACCTGGTCTAACATAAAGCAATCTCAACTAAAGAGAAAACTGAACCTGACCCTCTACAGCTAAACTTTCTCACGGAAGCCCCTCTGAGCCCTGGGGAAATTTTCCACCCATTTGCTCACCACTGGAAAGAATTGTTAGGAAGCTACACAGTAGGGACTAATATCGTAATGGGAAGGATTGCATGTGCCGAACAACAAGAGGAAATAGTCCAGATGTACTTGCACAGCCACTTATTTGTTCTTTAAGCCTCCTTCGATCCAATAAACTTTCATGTAAAACAGCAACCAATCACACAAGAACACTTCCAGTTGTTTACGACCTGTCAACAGTCTTTAAAGTGCAACGGTTGCTCTATTTATAATCAAATAAAAAAACAGAGCTTATTAAAATAATGAAGAGACTCTTAAGCTGTTTATAAACCTAAATGGCTTTAGATTATTGTATATAACACTCATGCCAATTATAATCCATTTATATAATGGAGTATATACAAACTAAAGCATTTAAAGATTCATTTGTAATCAAATTTCAAACCACATGTAAATGTAAGATATATGATTTTAAATAATAAAACCAGCATTTAACTCAGCAAAACCACAGCATAAAGGCCAGACATACTTTCTGTCATACAATTTAAGACCACAACTTATTCAGGATATCAAAATTAAGACTTTTTTTATTTACATTTTGAAAACTGGGACAATTAAAAGTTGGGACAGTAAAGGTCCTGTGAAGTGCACTGAAGCGTGCATTCCTTATACAATGTTTGACAATCTCAATAGTACAATTCTCCCTTTTTACAAAACAACTAATAAAGTTTCATTTTTATCACAGTGCGAGTGGTTAAGCAGGGCTCAAAATGAACCTTTTTGATTGATAGCACTGGCGCTTCTAACTTTAAAAATGAAGCCGCATTAGCCAAAATTAAGTCGCACCCACCAATTATAAGCACCGCTAGTACAAGTTTTATACAAACATATTTATTGCATTTGAAATAAACACTAATCAAACTAACAAGCAAAAAAATATAAATGCATGTGTGAGGAAAATATGAAACTATGTTATCACAAGAAAATACATTTTAATAACATAACTGAGTGACCAAAAGATACATACCGCTCACCGGCCCTGCACGCACTGCTTGACATGAATGAATCTGTTAATGATACAACTGTGCTGTTCTCACGGGTGCTGTCTGATATTGCACTGATTGCTTTTGATATAGTGTACCTTATTATATGCATAGGTCATGTTAATAGCAATACCGGTCTTTAAATGGGCATCATTTTTAGTTTACTTTGTGCAAGCCCTTTTGCGATAGTGTACGTGGTGTTAAATTGTACATATAGCTGCCACTTGCACTGCGGACAGCATCTGGCGAATATATGAAGGATTAAATAGAAGCTCTCGTGCTAAATGTGGCAAACGGTTACATGAAAACTCCATCCCACAGACTTTTCATAGTGGACTTGAAGCCAATGGAAGTCTTTCATCCACTCTTCCAAAAGTGTAGTTGGTGGATTAACATTCAGCACATGATCACAACTAAGAAGTGTCATTATTTGTAACTTTAGATGCCATGGTTTCTAAAGCAAAATCTGTCAGTGTTATCTTCATTCTCATCTTCAGCGCTTCACATTTTCGCGGTAGTTGCTCTCTCTGTCATCCCAAGCCAGAAGGCACTGACTGAGTGATTGACAGCTGATTTAAATCAATCCATTCGCGTTCAGTTCTAGAGCAGTGGGCCAATAAGAAGAGCGCGAAGGCGGGGCAAGCATTACGGACTTGGCTTTGTTTACTGCAGCAAGTTGACATGACAACTGTTTTAAACCATTCCTGAGCGCTGAGTTTCAAGTGCAAAGATGCATTCTGCGTGAATGTCAACAATTTCATGCACGTGCACAAATGCTCCCAAATATATTTTGAGGTCGCATAGATAAAATTTTGGGTGCATAAATGGTTGCAATTTTGAGCCCTGCTGAGCTCAAGTGCATTAAATGCAAAGCAAATGAACAGTGTTATGAAATGGCATACTAGAGAGCATTTGATTGGTCAAAAGATTTGATGAGAAACCCAAGTATGAGATGACGTCAAATAAACCACTGAGCCATTTAGGCGGAAGTGACAACCTGTAAGGTCTGGATGTTTATTTCAGATGTACATCTTCTAAATGCAAATTTTGTCACTGTTTTGGTACATGCTATCATATGGATATCTTTAAGACCAACATACTAAAAAAAACACTAACATTTTTTTTTTAGTTTTACAAGATGTTTAAAAAACTTTAATGCAGCGTGAAATTGACTTACCATGATACCAAGCGTTGATTAGATGCTCATATTTTTGTTATTCATGGACCACAGTCAAACCATCCTGTAAATAATGAAAGAAATATTGTATTAGTTATATTTACAATTAAGCAGAGTAAACAGCTGAATCAAACACAGAAGTAAATGTTTCTTGACATCATCCAAAAGCACACTGAGAACACTGAGTGTAGATTTATCATCAGAATTAGGGCTGTGCGATTAATCAAAATCGAATCGTAATTTATTTATTATTTATTTATTTATTGCCACATCAGCAACTTATGGCTATTTCATGGCAAAATGGATATACATGAAATATTACATGATAAAAACAAATTCAGGTTACAATAAAAAAGTTACTTGGATAAATATATAAAATAGAAATAGATAAAATTCACACAAAAATATATTCAAAGTTAAAGGGTCACGAAACACCAAAACACATTTTTTGAGCTGTTGACAGTCGTATATGTGTCCCACACTGCTAAAAACACTATTAGGACACCTATATTTCACTAAAAAGTGTAAATTGGTTGTTTTTGCGTTATTTCAAGCAAATTCGTACTTCCTGTTTGAAACGAATTTTTGTAGCTGCGTCACGGTCATGACATAATAGTGTTGTATTCCAGCGTGCAGACTGGGCGTCTGTGCCAGAGTGAGTCTTATTACGTCTTACAGTGTGATACATTAATGCATGAGTAAGGCTAGGTTCAAACCAATCAGCGCGCTCTACTGTGCAACTTCATTAATATTCATTTGTGTCACCGTGCTTACACCACAAAGACGCCACGTTGTGTTGGCAAAACAAGCGTGAAGTGTTGCTTTTATAGTTTGCTGCCATAAGTTTCGTTTTCATTTTCTCTCTGTGAGAGCTTATCTGGATCACGTGTGGATTAACAGTGTACGCGACGCTCGACAACAATAACTTACGTGTCTAAGGGGGATTATTGTTTACCTGAGAGCTGTTCTCATCTGCAAACGCTGAAATGTGGATTCGCTTGTAGTATTCTCTCCATATAGACGCGGCTCTAGTTGCTGGTGATTGTCCTGTCTCTACAGATTTGGTAAGTGAGCGACCAGTGCTCTTTGTTTATTCAGTTTGTTCGTATCGAATTAAGTTAACTATTGCACTGAGTGCAGAAATGTTAGCACCGCATTTTGTGACCGGAATAACACACGCGGCTTTCTGACACTACCTGCCGTATGCATCTAAGTTTCCGGGAAATGCGGAGGTTTTTTTTTCTCTCATTCGCCGTGCGGTATCAAACATTGCATGAAAAATACACGCTTAGATCAGTTCCTCGAATCAAATATCTCGTTTGTCGCGAGAGGCATGAATGAATTCCCTGAATGAAAGAGCCAAACTGCAGTTAAAGTCCAACATTTAATAATTTGGCAAATAATTCGACTACAGATGTCCATGTAGGTTAAACACCATATCTTTCTCCTGTCTGTGTGGGTGTGTATTTTGACTCTGAAACTCGCGCGTGCACAAATAGACACTCCCACACCATCCCACTTTAGTTCCTCCGACACTCCCCCCTAAACAGAGCTGGACACGCCCACTTTTCTGACTTTTTCCAAAGTAGAGGTGTGACAACACCCTGCTGAAACAAGGGGGTTTCATGGCCCTTTAAATATGATTTTTCAGTTCAATTTTTGATGTTCAATTCTTCCTGGCGGTACCTTCTAAAAAATGTCCAAAATACTCTCCTTCTAAAAATTTTGTCTAATAATATTAAAACTTCCACATTTCAACAAAATATGTGTTATGATAAGAGCAGCTTGGCAGTAATTACATTTAGGTGGTGCTTTGTTATTCAGTAAATATAAATATGTCAGCCTAAAATGTAAAATTCAACATTTAGTATAGACCGTCTGATAATGCCTGGTCTCAAAATTATGATTTGCTAAATGTCTTTCATTTATTTTCGGGTTAATTTCATGTATTTTATTATTCATGCAGTTGTCCCCTTCTCTTTGCCATGTTTTGTTCATGTACAAATTGATTGTGGGTTTCAAGTCCTCAGAAGGAAAAAAAGATCACGATCTCGATTCGACCCTATACACGATCTTAATTCAGCTTTTCTACAATTCAGCCAATTATATTTTTAAGGTCAGGAGAGAAGGGTAAAGGAGGACGCACAAGTCTTCACAGCAACATTGACACCTTCAAATGGTTTTAAAAGCGTCACATACTGTATTTATAAGGTATAATTCACCCAAAAATTCAATTTTTGTCTTTATGTATGATGTATTTGTGGCCGCGAAATCACACGCGAGCTGACGGCAAGGTGTTTGTTTACTTCTGAGAACGCCAGCGTGCACGCCAATAACACCTACTTTAGTGAACACAACCTGCATAGTAGGGGTGTCACAATTTTGATTTTAAATTTATCAAATCAAAAAATAGAATCGTCGATGCTGCCACGCCCCCCATGTCACATCAGCTTGGCTTGCCAAGCGGGAAAAAAACAGACTTGTTGAAGTGCTTGTTAAACTGCAGAAGCAGGAGACCCGTCGACAGAACTAAAAACCCTCTCCTTTTTCAATCAAGTCGCCGGTGTGTAAGCATTTTGGATTTCCAGTGAGTTATGTTGACAACGTTCGTGTTGTCGACAAAAAAAACACAGTTTTTTTAAGCTCTGCTATGTACGTATTACGTACGGTTCGTCCGATAAACAACACCGCCATCGCAATCCTCCGCCCTCCCCCGTTGCAAATCCGCTCGCGAAAAGAACACACTCAGGCCTTGTTTACACTGTATTTGTTTTTAAATGGCATTTTAGAACGACAACGATTTGACATCCACAGTGGCGTGTAGCATTTCTGAGCAGCCCTCCTTCTTCTTTACCTCTGAAAATGCCCATAACGTGACCACACAGATACAGATGCGCACACAGCCATGCGCTCAAGACAGCAGGTCCAGGCAGTCAGAGGACTGCTTCAATCTTTCACTCACTTGTACTTAGTCATTTTAGCGAACACCTCAGATACTGTTGGCTGGTTCCTGTTGGTTGAGCGTCTTTTTTACCGACGCCATTATAACGACACAGATCACTGCCTATTCACGAGTCCCGCAGAAAAAGTGATTGACAGGTGGTAATTGTGTGTGTATCTTGCCTTTATTCATTTACTGTATGATTTGTTTATGGGTAAAACAAAGACCATGCAGGTCAGGTAGTTTAAACGGTAGGCTACAAATAATTAATTGGTCATTAATTAATTATTCATGATCGAAAATCAAACCGAATCGTGCCTTTAGAATCGAAAATGTAATCGAATCGAGGATTTGGAGGATCGTGACACCCTTACTGCATAGGCTGTGAATAACAGGTAATGAAGTTGTGAATAACGTTCAGTTTGTTGCACAGAGCGATCGTTTGAGGGCCGTGCGGGAGGTTAGATTCGCATGTATGTGTTTTTTCTCACAGTGACAGCAGCCATGAGCCGCACTCGGAAGTGAAAGTGAAACCTGTGCGCACATCATGTAAATGATCATATTTTATGATTAGTTATTATTAAGACAAGCATTTGATATGTTTTTTCTTTCATAGCGAACACAAAGTGTTGTGCATGAAAATAAATGTTTACTGTCAGTATAACAACCCTAGCCTATATATAATGTTGAATATAATGCAAGAACGAATTTGATAATGACAAAATTCTAATTTTACCAGTGAAAATAAATGGTCTAATAATGTTGTAAAAGGCAGACGACAAGCACGTCTTAAACATAATAAATCAACTTTAGAATTATCAATAGTTATATTCTGATAATAATCTTACTGTGATTTAACAAACAAGACAAATTGAAATCTGTTCAAGTCCACTATAATGACTAAACAAAATTTAGCATTATAAGCAACAGTAGACCTACACATAGGCCTTATATTATTGTTGTTTGTTATACCATATGTTTGAAAATTAATAATAATAATAGGCTAACCATATTAACCTTTATTTTACATTTACAGAATCGTGAGAAAATCGTGATCTTGATCTTTAAGCAATATATATATATTTATATATATAGCCCTACCTTCCTCTTGTTATGGATTTTAAACAATATAAAACATCCCTTTAAGTCCTTATTGGGCAAGGAACCATACATGTTAACTTTATTTACATTAATTACACTATAGCTTTTATTTATTTACTGTTAAGTATTGCATTAACCCCCAGCAACACTGCAGAGTATCTCTTTTTCCACTGAGTATCTCAATGAGTGCTGTATTAAGGGTTAAATGCGGTAGTTCAACTTAAAATTTGTTCCTTGACTTGTTCATAACCATTTTGAGATTTTTTATTTATTTTTTGTTCTCTTGAAGACAAAATAGATATCGTGAAGAACGCTGCATTGATTTCTACAGTATTTGTTTTTCCTACTATGGCTGTCAATGGTTACAGGTTTCCATTATTCTTCCAGACAGCTCTCCTTTTGTTTTGACGTCTCCTTTTTCATTTTTTGGGTGAACTATCCCTTTAAAAAGCTAAACTGCAGTGATTCATTTGCTCTAATTAACTTACATGCATAAACTCTATTCTTAAACTGACTATAGACTTTAGTGAACTATAGTTCATTTCAAAATTATCCCTTTCCAGTAAAAAGATAATGTTATTACTCACAGAGAAGTTATTACTAGCAAAATAACCAATGTACTCAAAACATACTCATTTTACACTCATTATTCCACTACCAAAAATAAACGAGCGTAAGAAACATCATGCTAACACTGCCGGAAGCGCCAATACATGTCATTCTACTAGCTTACGGCTAATACGCATTGTCAATAAACGTAACTGAAAATAACAGACTACCCAAACAAGTGTGTAAACTGGCGATTCTAGTTTCCACATGTGACTGGTTAGACAGCAACAAGGTTAACTAGCATGTTAAATGAATGCTAGTTGTTGTCAACGTCCATCTAGCGTGCACAGTGCGAGGAACCAGAGCGCCCATCCCCCCACCGCGCGGCCACAATACTACAATCCTGCAACACTGACGCCTACAGTTTCAAGACCGCAGTTCTGGGACACTATTTTGGGTCATTTTAGCGCCCCATTACCAACCCCATTCCAGACGTGACTAACTCAAACCAGGAACAGACGCAATATATATTAAATTTTATTAGATCTTTAATCTATAATTCAGCGTGTAATTTTTAACTAACGTGTTTAGATGTGACTCACGTCACTTGCGTAGTTACTTGTTTACTATTGTGCGTTTCTCCATCATTCAACAACGAATTAGTTGTCATTTCTGTTATTTAAATTCCAAAAGGCACCAGCTTTTTATGTTTAAGGATAATATTTAGACGAATCTGACTTAAATTTAACTAATTAAAACAAATAGTGCTTATTTAAAACGAATTATACAAAACATTCTAAAAGAAAGAAACATGGTCCTTCAACTGCAGACCTGAAACTGCAACTGCCCGGTGTTGCAGGGTCATGCTAACTCACACGCGCTGCAGATTCACTCTGCAAAACCAACACTTTTAATGAGTTATAAGTGCCTTTAAGCTATTAAAAACGCAAGTGGAGATTATGAGGCCTAATTTGCGAGTAAAATGTTTATTGGATGTGTTGAAGGGCGAATGTGAGGCTCGTCTTACTCGTGCCGAGGCTTCCACTCTCCTCAACCGCTGTTAGCTTCAGGAGCTAAAGGGCTGAACAAATGTGGCAGTGCGCCGACGTAGATCCGACAGAAGGGTATTCCTCGGCTTTTCCACTTCTCTATTAAACTTCTGGCTTCGAGTAATATCTATTTTCCCTGTTGCCCGTATGAAATAGAAAGGAATAAAAGAAACATTTAGCAGCTTATGGACAGCCAGGCGCTTCAGAGGAAGCCGACGGCCTCAGACTAGCAGTAGGGCGGAGACTTTCCAGGCGAAAATGAGGTAATAGGCCCATGTGGCCTTAATTTAATGTAAAAGTATCTGTAAAAGACGAAATAACTGGGAAATATATAAATTTAAAAATGTTATTTAACTAATTTGCATGCTAGTGAAGGCGTGTGGAAGCGGCGTGATGCGCTTACATTTGTTTTTAATTATCTTAGGGTGTTAAATCATAACAGAAGAACATGTAAGGCTTGAATTTACTATTCGTTTTCAAAAGCGGCTTATTTTAAAATATATACACCAAACTTGTGTGAGAGTTAATTAAACCGACCTGTTTATCAACAACATTTCATTGCCCAACCCCCACCACGCATACAGAAATAATTTTTTGCCTGGCTGGTCACTGGCCTGCAATTCCGCCACACCCACAATCTCCTCTGCTCAGTCATTCAATAACAGACTGACATCATTGGTCTGCGTATTACACTGCTATTTTCAATCTACCGTAAGTATTGCAAAAGCATCGCAGTGTGTATACAATAGGCCTACACTGGGAAGAGACAGCACAACATTTTTTTTCAGCTGCTCCGCACTTTAATATAATCCAAAATAATAATGTATTATAAAGGTATTTATAATATAGATCAGCTAACGTTACAGTATGTACGTTATGTACATTAACGTACGTAGGCTGTTTAATTTAGGTCAATTTGGTCCTCTTAAGCAATTTACCCCGTTTAAAAGTCATAATTATGCCTCTAAATTAAGTCACTATAGAAGTACAGCTGGAAATCAACTGGAAATCATGATGCTCATCAGCATTTTATTAACATATTTAAAATCTGGAAGACTTTTTAATGTTTATGTTTTTTTTTTTATTCCCAACCCATTTTGTCAGACTTTACCCTAAAATTTGAGCAAAATATTCAGAGATTCAAAGTTTATTTAGACAATTTATGTAAAACCCATTTTAGACATCTGATATAAATATAAACTAATTATTATGTATACATGTTTAGATTTTACACATATATAATTTTTGTTATATGCAACATATATTTCAAAATATTGCAAAAATATAAATTTACCTATATTTTATAATATATTTCCCATATATATAATTCTAGCCAATATTTGAACATATATGTACATATTTGTAATTCCAGTAGTTAAAAAATGGCTGTTTTTGCAATATTTTGACATTTATGACATTTCGTGAAACCCCAAAAAAAACTTGTAAATCATATATGTCATTTACATATATTGCCGTAATCTAAAAGTAATCCAAAAGTAGTTTGAATACTTTTTCTAAAAAGAGTAATCTACACTACATATAGTAATCTAAAAGTAATCCAAAAGTAGTTTGAATACTTTTCCTAAAATGAGTAATCTAGACTACATATAGTAATCTAAAAGTAATCCGAAAGTAGTTTGAATACTTTTCCTAAAATGAGTAATCTAGACAACATATATAATCTAAAAGTAATCTGAAAGTATTTTGAATACCTTTCCTAAAAGGAGTAATCTAGACTACATTAAAGTAATCTAAAAGTAATTAGAAAGTAGTTTGAATACTTTTCCTAAAGTGAGTAATCTAGACTTTATATAGTAATTTAAAAGTAACCCGGAAGTAGTTTGAATACTTTTTTTAAAATTAGTAATCTAGACTACATACTGTATAGTAATCTAAAAGTATTTCGAAAAAAGTTTAAATACTTTTCTAAAAAGAGTAATCTAGACTACGAATAGTAATCTAAAAGTTATTTGAAAGTAGTTTGAATACTTTTCCTAAAATGAGTCATTTAGACTACATACTGTATAGTAATCTAAAAGTAATCCAAAAGTAGTTTGAATACTTTTCCTAAAATTAGTAATCTAGATTGCATATATAATCTAAAAGTATTCCAAAAGAAGTTTGAATAAAAGAGTAATCTAGACTACATATAGTAATCTAAAAGTAATCTGGAAGTAGTTTGAATACTTTTCCTAAAAAGAGTAATCTAGACTACATATAGTAATCTAAAAGTAATCCAAAAGTAGTTTGAATACTTTTCTTAAAAAGAGTAACCTAGAATACATATAGTAATCTAAAAGTAATCTGAATATAGTTTGAATACTTTTCCTAAAATGAGTAATCTAGACTACATACTGTATAGTAATTTTAAAGTAATCCGAAAGTAGTTTGAATATTTTTCCTAAAACGAGTAATCTAGACTACATATAGTAATCTAAAAGTAATCTGAAAGTAGTTTGAATACTTTTCCTAAAATGAGTAATCTAGACTACATTAAAGTAATCTAAAAGTATTTCGAAAGTAGTTTGAATACTTTTCTTAAAATAAGTAATCTAGACTACATACTGTATAGTAATTTAAAAGTAATCCAAAAAAAGTTTAAATACTTTTCTAAAAAGAGTAATCTAGACTACGAATAGTAATCTAAAAGTAATCTGAATATAGTTTGAATACTTTTCCTAAAATGAGTAATCTAGACTACATACTGTATAGTAATCTAAAAGTAATACGAAAAAAGTTTAAATACTTTTCTAAAAAGAGTAATCTATACTACGAATAGTAATCTAAAAGTAATCTGAAAGTAGTTTGAATACTTTTCCTAAAATGAGTAATCTAGACTACATTAAAGTAATCTAAAAGTATTTCGAAAGTAGTTTGAATACGTTTCTTAAAATGAGTAATCTAGACTACATACTGTATAGTAATTTAAAAGTAATCCGAAAGTAGTTGGAATACTTTTCCTAAAACGAGTAATCTAGACAACATATATAATCTAACGGTAATACGAAAGTAGTTTGAATACTTTTCCTAAAAAGAGTAATCTAGACTACAATTTTCAGCATGTAATTAATCAGCGACAGACCACAGATTGGAAGTGAAATTCCCAGACTGTCAAAAACAAGTCTCGCCCAATTTGAAACATAAGCCAACACCACCAAAAGATTTTCCCCTTCACATCTGGGAGATGATGACACCACTATGTAACATCTTAAACAACCTTTGTTCACTGGAAAAGCGTTATGGGAGATGACTGGGTTGGCTCATATTTGCTCATCAGTAAAACCACCAGCACACATGCTCTCTAATTGAATTATTGCCTGTCAGATCATAATCCATATATCATTTGCTTGTGGTTGCACTATAATTTGTTCTCAAACAGGCGCCTGGGATCAGACTTTGCAGCGTCTATGACTGTTTTTGAATTATAATAGAAACCAATCACTTTGCAATACTTTAGGTGGATCAGTATTGTGAATTAGTGAATAATAATTTTGGTAACACCTCACAATAAAGTGTCGTTAGTTATTATTTACAATGAACTGAAAATTCTTTCATCATTTGTGCATCATTACTATTCGTTCTATTTTCCATCCACTGCATCCATACATCTCTGCAATGACTCAATTAACCTATAAATAAAGTCATCCGGAATGGCAAAGAAAGCGTTTTTGCAGGCCTCCCAGAACTCATCAAGATTCTTTGGATTCAATTTAAATGCCACTAACTTCATCTTACCCCAGACATGCTCAATAATGTTCATTTCTGGTGACTGGGCTGGCCAATCCTGGAGCACCATGACCTTCTTTGCTTTCACGAACTTTGATGTGGAGGCTGCAGTATGAGAAGGAGCGCTATCCTGCTGTAGAATTTGCCTTCTTCTGTGGTTTGCAATGTAATGGGCAGCACAAATGTCAAATGGATGTTGATGTTGCCTTCCACTCTGCAAATCTCTCGCACGCCCCATACCAAATATAACCCTAAACCATGATTTTTCCTTCACCAAACTTGACTGATTTCCTTAAGAATCCTGGGTCCATGCGGGTTCTATATCTTCTGCCACTTTTCCAAATGATCAACTACAAGTCAAGTTATTGTTTGTTGCTCTTACAACTGGGATCAACGACAAGACTTTTGTCATGTAGTATACAAATATGCTGACGAGATGGCAGTGGTTTCAGTTTTATTGAAAGATAATATCAACAATATGGAAATCACATTTTGGAATTAGAGGAAGAGAGTGTTTTATTGATTAACAAAGAGAAAACAAAAGGTTTTACAGTTTTCTTTGGGGAATTCTGCTCCTATCATTGGAAGGTTAACTCTGCAAGAAGGTCGCTGGTTCGTGTCGGGTCAGTTGGCATTTCTGTGTGGAGTTTGCATGTTTTGACGTGGGTATCCTCCAGGTGCATGCTCCGGTTTCCCCCACAGACCAAAGGCATTTGGTGTAGATGAATTGGGTAAGCTAAATTGGCCGTAGTGTATGTGTGTGAATGAGTGTGTATGGATGTTTCCGAGTACTGGGTTGCAGCTGGAAGGCATCCGCTGTGTAAAACATATGCTGGATAAGTTGCTGGTCATTCAGCTGTGGTGACCCCTGATAAATAAAGGGACTAAGCTGAAAGAAAATGAAGGAATGAATGAGTTATTAGAAAAAGTCTATGCCTCAATAACAAAAATCAGCTTTCCACCATTGTCATGCTGAGTAGCTTAATGTGCAAATAATTCTGTCTCGATGATCGTCTCTTGCATGGTGCCCTCATCAATTATATATGCCCTCAGCAATTGTGTTTGTAGATTTTTGTTCACGCTTCAATACCAGCTTTACACAAAGACTGGGTACAAACAGAGCAATAAAAGTGTTTCCTGTATCCATGGCAACAGCAGTGGCGCTGGCTGTAAATGAGGCAATCAAATTATTGCTGGAACATACAGAGGAGAAAGAGAGAGAGAGAGTGAAAAAGGGACAATTATCCATTTCACACCAAATTTAGCAAAGAGTGAAACATTACACATTATGATGAGTCCCACGACTGGTCTCCAATCAAAACTCATACATTGTTTGTTTAATTAGAAGTGGAACCAGAGCATTTTGTGTTCTTGCAGGATAATTGCTAAGACCTTTGGGATCCAGTTCGAGGACTTCTGGCCAACAAAGAGAGAGTAGGAGGAATGTTTTTAGCAGTAAATTAAATGGGCAGCACGGTGGCGCATTGGGTAGCACAATCGCCTCACAGCAAAAATGTC